TTTTCCGACTGTTGTGGCTCGACCACCATTAACCTACTTGTTATTGTCTAACTATTATTGTCTTGCTATATCATCTTACTATCATCATCTTTCTACTACTTCTCTCATAATCTCTACTATCACAATTATAAGAGGCCAAATAAATACTTCAAACTTTGTAATTCCATCTTCTTCAATTGTTGAGAAGATTGAAATTCCTTAATGTTTTATAACCAAAGATTTAATATGAGTCATCCAATACTCACTAAACAAATATTTGAAATATCAAGGGCTCCATTAACGAGAATTTATTATGTGCGGTTACCAGATGATCTAGAGGCGAATCAGGATGCGTCATATCACTCTAATACATAGCACCGATACACAATAAAAAAAAAATACGACGCATCTTAATTCACCTCTAGACAGCATCCCACAACCAGAGGATAAGAATTTCACCCCATTAAAAACCTCAGCAGTGTTCTCAAACTTGATCGAATTCTCATCAATGAAGCTTGGCTTGCTTCTTTTCCCAACTCTCATTATTTGGTTGGGAATAGCTTGGTTTCTGACCATTCGTATGGTTAATTTGCGTTTCAGTACCTGAGCTTTCTGTTATTTTATTATTTGTAGGAGACCGTTTGTATTGAGAAGTAATTTTATGGTGAAAAAGAAATGTTATTTATTTATTTTTTGATTTCAACTTAAGAATTAAAATAATTATTTTCATAATAAATATTTAAACCACAATATGAAAATATCATATAAATTAATCATTATAGCCTTATATATATTTCAGAGCTTAATATTTACAACAATTAATGGACGTACGAGAAATTTTAATATTCAAAAATATTTTTGTAGAATAATTTTTTCATATAGAATAAATATATTATTTAATGCCTTCTTAATATTTTTGTGTCATGATAGTCTTCAATGCATTTGAATTTGTGTTGAGATTAGTGCTATTTATGATATTTAAAAATTGTATTAATCTCAGTGTTGCTTACGCCTTGAATTTACTCTCCTGCAATATTTTTAATATGTCATTGAGTCTTCTTATTTACTTCTTTAATTATGTATGAATTATTATTGATAGCTAAGAAGATATTTTATATCAATTTTTAAAATATAAATAAGCTTGCATATTCATTACTGATACATCATCACAAAATTATCTTGATTGGGCACGAATCTCGAGGCAAAATCAGTTCAGAAGCTTCAAAAATTAAATTCAAGAGCATATGAACTCCGATTTCAGCTGGCTTAAAGTCAAACTGAGCGTCTCGGAAATACGAATTCGACCCAATTCGACCCAATCCAACCCCAAATGAGTCCGAATCAAGGGCTCAAAGCGCTGTTGGAAGGTTCAAACCACAATTTGAGTTATCAAACGATCTCCGATTTTGACGAGCTTATACTCGAATCGAACGGCTCGACGATATGAATCCAACGAGCCCAAGATCTCCGAATTCCAACATCATTAAAGCCTTCAAATGCCCAACAAACGGTGCATGATCAAAGGATTCGATATCGGCCGTCCATTCAAAACACTCCCAATTCGCCCTTGATCTCACGCCTATTTACGGGCTATGCCACTCCAGAAAAACTATAAATAGAGCGCTCATTCTACACCAAAGGGACTCAAGTGAAGAGAGAGAAGAAAAAGGGAAGAGAGAGAAGAAGAAGAGAAGAAGGAGGAGAAGGAAGAAGTTCCTCCTCGACCACCACCGGAACTCTTCCTGCCACCTGAAGATGCCGGAACTCTGCTGAATTTTCGGGAAACGCCGGAAATTCGCAGAACTTTGTAACTTTGTGAGAAGTTAATTGTAAACTGATCGTCTTGATTTGTAAAATGGATCAACCTTTGTACTTCATACAAATACTAGTGGAACTTTGCAACTGGGCGAGGCCCCGTGGTTTTTTCCCTCTTTCGTGTTTTCCACGTAAAAATCATGGTGTTCATTTCTCTTTTCTGTTTGTATGCGGAATACTCGTGCAACGCTAAGACGAATATTTACAAACTCTACCGTCGTGTATATTCTAGCACGCAACAATTACGTTTACTATTTATCATAAATTATTCTTGGCCAAATTTTCAGAACGAGCAGGTCAGACTTTTATTCTAGGAGAAAAAGCTGGTTTGCAAAAGAATTTGAGAAGCAGCAGATACGCGTGAGGGTATGGCGCATTCATGCATTCATAGAATGCGCTTAGTGATCTGGCGCATTCAAAGAATGCGCCTATTGATCTGGCGCATTCTTTGAATCCGCCCAATAGGTTCGCGCATTCTTCAAATTACCGGGACTGCGCCGATTGAGTTGGCGTATTCCTGCTTTTCCATTTTCAGTGTTTTTGCATGCGAAATCTGGCCTCAAATTCCGTGTAATCAGAATTTCCTAAATTTGGACACCTGAAAGTCGGTGTAATCAGAATTTATATTTTTTGGCCAAAATTTTTATTGAGAAATAAAAATTTAATAAAGTTAGCAATATGGAGTTTGTCTTCTGCTTAATTATGATAATCTTCCCAAAAGGTACTCTTTTGCTCTCGGATTCAGCAGTTTACAATAAGTAGGAATAATTTATTTTTCTTGTCATTAGGTTTGAAGTTGAACCCGTTTTTTTTTTACATAAATAGTTGTTATGTATTTACGTTTGAGGTTGGGAACGATAATTTTGTTGGAATAGAGTAATGTTTTTATTTTTAAGAAATGTAAAATTAAAATACAATCATTAAAACCCAATTTTGTTTGTAATGAATTAAAAAACTTGAGTATGTTTTTTTAAAATAATTTGATGTTAAAAAATGTGTTATTAAAATTTGTACGAGATAATAAAAATTTAAATAACTTATTTTTTTATTATTAAAAATTAATCGAAATCTCTTATTTTCCATAAAATATATAATTAGAGTGAATTAGGGAGATATTTAAGTGAGCATTTGTTTTATCATTTCAAGGGAAATAGTGTCATCGATGAGGAGCGGTCTAATCCTCCCGCCAATATAACTTGGTGTGAATTCGTCCGAAATACGTAACTCTCCATTAAAATACAGTAACAATCGAGACATACTATCAAGATAAGAACAATTATGTCATTATTTAGTTTGTGTTCAAAAGTTTTATTGTTACCAACACAAAGCTCTAATTACATAATTTATGTTATTTTTCAAAGGTAATTACTCTAACGAAAACACTTCTAACTAATTTAAAAAATAATTAATTAAAACTACCATTCCTCCATTGATCGCCCTGTAATCACAAGAGATAAAACTCAAATAAAATTTTTACTTCTTTTAATGTGATTTTTTTTTTAACTCAATGTTTCAATATAATAAATTTGAAATTTCATATTAAAAAAACTAACATCATGACCTGCAACCACTTAAATCGATTAAATTAATCATAATTTGGTTGAACCTGATTACTAAACGAATATGAGTAATAATAAAATTTATTTTAGAATTTAGAAAATCATCAACTACATAAATTTAAATTAGAGAATAAACTAATTAATAATTTAAGTTGATATGAATTTTAAAATATAAATATAAATATAAATAAATATTTAAATAAATTTCAATAAATTAAATAAAGAAGATAAATCAATCAATTGTTTTTTTATTTTGGCAAAAAATAAATTGTTACTTTACGCTCTTGATTTGATCCCTTACGAGAAATCAAATTCATTATAACTATGATTCAATTTTTTGAAGTGATCAACTTACAAGATTCTATAAATCTTATATCATTAAAACATCTTAATAAAATGAAGTACTAAGCATTGAATTTTATCTCTTATGGGAGACTAATTATAAAATAAATTATATCATTCATCTATATAGGTTTCTTTGGGTGTTCAAAGTTCTGCCCATGTTGATAAGGTAGATTTAGAGCCCATTAGATACGATATTCTACAAAAATTAAAGCCACACAATTTCTTTAACATCAACAACTAATTAACAAGACAACTTATTTGCAACTTCTTCATACGTGCACACACAAATAAGAATTTACAATAACCAAAATACTACAACAACATCTTTAAAAAAAAAAATTTAAGCATTCACATATTACAATTTCTACAAAACTTAATAGATCTATATTAATTACAGAAAATAAACGAATCAAATTAAAGAAAAATTAAAAATACCTGTTCTTCTTCTAAAAACCGATAACTTCAGATGAAATAAGGTGTGACTTTCCTCCTCAACTCAAGCGTTATTTATAGCCGATTCGCTCTTCTCCCCAACCACCCAAATTCATATCCCTCAATTATTTCCACACCAAGACAGCGCGCAATTGACGGATCTGGTCGGGCTTTACGACAAAGAAATCCGGAATTCTCTGCCATATCGACAGCTGGGCGATAAGAGATAGCTAGCAGATGAGAGATAGGAAGATATTATGTAGAATGCGCCGAAAGCTAAAGCGTAATCTTAAGAATACGCTTTACCGTACCGCGCATTTAAAGAATGCGCTTATATGTTCGGCGCATTCAAAGAATGCGCCATTAAGTTCGGCGCATTCTTTGAATGCGCCAATCTGTTTGGCATATTCACAGCTTTTTAAATTTTATTCCTACAATGTTGTTTTTGCTTAATTTCAAAACAAATGCGCTCGTTCCTAAGGCCATTATTCTTCATTTAAAATATAAAAAAATGTTAAATTTGAATGGGTCTCAAAGCCCTTAATTTATTTAGAGATAAGTGCAAAATATAAAAAAATTAATCAAGATTAGTATTATTTTTATCATATTAAAATAAATTTAATGTAATTAAAATTTGGTTAAAATATTTTAGGCCATTTTTTTATTGAAATTCGTGCTTGTTAAATAATTAAAATTGATATTTTATTTATACATCTATTGTGCATACGGTATGAAGATTTGGTTTGCAATTAGTTACATCTTTAGGAGGGTATTTGCATAATGGCCGTTAAATTCTTCTAATAAACAAATATTTTGTGTTCGAATATGGACCATAACGGACTGCTATAAATAGAAATACTCTCCCAAATCTCCTTTTCGTCGAAAGATTTCTTCCCGTTTTTCTGCACTCTTTCTCCCTTTGCGTCTCCTTCTTCTCTTCGTCTGCCTCCACGCCTTCTCTTTCCTCCATCATTCTATTATCCGTCTCGCAGATATCTTCTTTGCTCCGATTCATGGCGGATAAGAACATATTGGTGACGGGAGGGGCGGGCTACATAGGGAGCCACACGGTGTTGCAGCTCCTCCAGGAAGGGTTCCGCGTCGTGGCTGTCGACAACCTCTACAATTCTTCCGAGGTCGCCATCAAGAGGGTTGCAGAGCTTGCTGGTGACGCGAAGAAGAATCTCGCGTTTGAACGGGTAAGATGGATTCGGGTTTGTCTCATTGATTAATACGCGTACTTTTTTTTGACCATTTCCCCGTTTTATTGAATTCTATTGAATTTCTGTCTGGAATAGTCTGTCTCTGTAGATTTTGGGGTTTTTTTTGGTTAATTTTCATTGCTCGGATTGATTGTTGGTGTTTTTATGCTAAGATGGTGCCGGCAACAAGAATTTTTCCCAAATATTTGAGAATATGGATTTCTTTAATTGAGGAGAATTCAGCTTTTGGATTGCTTGTGTGTTGTCTTACTTTTCTAATGCGTCACATGCTGCTTTGAAAATTGGAAAGTTTTAAGTTTTGTAAAACGGTGGCGATGAAAAGGAAACAATCTTTATTGTATGGAATAGACGGATTCATCCAATTTCATGCAAAATGTTATTATTTTTTATCTCGTTGTATGGTATAGACGGATTCATCCAATTTCATGCAAAATGTTATTATTTTTTATCTCGCCCCTTTTATTGGAATTGCTTTAATGCTATGATGATGACGGGAAACGGGATGAATTGCGAATTTTGGAGAATTCGAATTTGTTTGGTTAAGCAGCTTTAATGCATTTGTGTTGCTTCACATTTTTCCGATGCGTCATATGCTTCCCCTCCTTGAAATTTGAAAGAGTGGGTCTTTCTTGAAAAAGAAAGCAACCCTAACGATGCGGCGGGTAATTTCGGGTTCCGACAAATACTGGAGGAGTTGATTTGCTGTATTTGAGAAAAAAAAAAAAAAAAAAAAAGATTAATGAAATCTTTTCTCTGGTACAAGCCATCATTTTGGAAGTATGATGTAACGTGACTGTTCTTTTTCCCTAATTTCTTTACGCGTGAGGTATGCTTTCCATCTGGCGTTTCTTCCGCTTGTCGGTGCCTTTTCTTGGGAGATTTTTTTTGAAAATTCTTTGGAGATTTCGTTCCATATTAAACGGATCGAAATAAATGATCTCTGATGCAGAGTGTTGAAAAATTTACTGTGGGGTTCACCAACACATGAGATTTTAATTTCTATAACTCGCAAATAATTTATTACTTAGGTATTTATGGAGTTTTCAAGGACTGAATATCTTGTGAGTATACTATTTTTATTTTAGGCTGACTGTATGCCTTTACTCCTTTTATTTTTTGTGAGCTGACAAACATGAATGCAATTAGTTAATGATTCCTCTGGAATGCAATTACCAGTTGGAAAATGGAGGTAGTTTCTCATCTTCTACATTAGTTAAAAGTAGGGAACTTGTAGATCTTGTTTTAATTTAGTTATTGCATGTGCTTCTACTATTTAAAACTGTTAAGGGAATGTTGTATGCTAGATTACTTTGATTAATTGCACTGTTCATGAAGCGCCATTTGAGCTGGTGAATAGCCTCCACTGTCATCTTGGCATAATTTATACATCTTTGGACAATTGTTTCTTGCACTTATGCTTCAATATCAATTTCACGGTAAATTTTGTTTTCTTTCTGCAGGTTGATCTTCGAGATAGAGAAGCATTGGACACTGTTTTTGCTTCTACAAAGTAAGTTTTTATTCACTTATTCTATATTTTCTATCTTTTCATATCTCCCTCTGTGTGCGTGCATTTAAAACAATTGATGCTGTACTTTTTAGAAGTTTTGAAATGATTTATTTAAAATGGTTGATACGTGTCTTAAAAGTTTTGAAATACTCCAGCCCCTTGTACATCTTTTTTATGGCGTTGTTGTGAAGCTAAGCCTTTTTAATTGCTTTTACCATAAACGTTTATTTGCTAATTTTGTAGGTGCATTGCTTGTTTTCATTAAAAGGCTTGAGGACTTGCATGAATTGCACATTTAGCTTAGCTTTCAGTTGTAGTCCTAGATTAACAATCCTTATATACTTGTACCATTTATCAAGCTAAAATTCTTAGTCGGTGTAGCAATATTGGTATAGATGTTAATATTTCTCAATTCTCTAATTTTGATTTTTATCTTTTTGATCTTTTAGTTACTTTATTAATGTCTTTTTAACTTTCAGATTCGATGCTGTTATTCATTTTGCTGGCTTGAAGGCTGTGGGCGAAAGTGTCCATAAGCCTTTGCTTTATTATAACAACAATCTTATTGGTACAATAACTCTCTTAGAAGTGATGGCTGCTCATGACTGCAAAAATGTAAGCATTATACCTTCTCTTGGATTATGTCACTAATACTATCTTTTAAGATCTAATTATTTTTCATTTATTCTTTGTTAGTTGTTCCTGCTGAGCATTATTTAGAAGTTCCTTTGTTTCGTTATAAGGCTAGTTTGGAGATTTAAAAGATCGGAAACTTCATTTAATAGCTTAAATAAGCTCTTTATTCCCTTGGCAATCTCTTTTTATCATTTGTTGTCCAGCTATAAAATAAGGTTTTAATATCCTGAAGCACATTCCACTAACTTTGGAGTACTAGTGTTATTGAACTAAAATATGCTCTCAGTTTTTTGTTTCAATTACATGCAGGACTTTTTTCTAATAGCAAGTATGATAAACCAAGAATTAGAAAATTTATGAAATTCTTATACCCTTTTCATCTAGGGAATTATAGATGGTAAGATTGCATCTGCTTGAACTTAGATTTACATTAATGGAGTTTTTTTCATCATACAAAAGAACTCCAAAGTTTAACTAGGTTAATTATATTGCAGAGGGTTGTAGGAAAATCCGAACCGATCATTTCATTAACTGACATATGGCATGGTAAACTGAGATTATATTATGATTAAATGATACATTGAGTAAGTATGTTTTGTTTGTATTAATGAGCAAATAGTGTTTGGATAGTCATTTTGGGAGGAGAATTTCTCTAATATTTAACTAGTGCTAGTTCTGATAGTTATTTAGCTTTTGGTGTTATGTGAAAAAGCAACTTTGTTCAGAACTCCTTTGCCATAAATCAAACATTCAAACCATACTCCCACCAAAGATACCTTTATGCTCTCATCCACCTGATCTTATGCAAATAATAGTGTTCTTTTGTGAAATCACCATCTCTTTCTTTCTAGAAAGAAACATTCTTTCATGAAACCAACTCATCCCATGCTTAAATCTTAATGGTTTTCAGCTCATTTTTTCATCATCTGCAACTGTTTATGGATGGCCAAAGCAAGTTCCCTGCACGGAAGAGTTCTCTCCTAGCGCGGCAAACGTTTATGGACGAACCAAGGTTATTCCCTCCTGTTTCTTACCATTAATATTAATAATAAAATGTGCTGATCATTTCTGCTAACAAAACTAAGATGATTGCAGCTTATCATTGAAGATATTTGCCGTGACTTACAAAAATCAGACTCTGATTGGAGGATAATATTGCTTAGATATTTTAATCCTGTTGGTGCTCATCCCAGTGGAGATATTGGTGAAGATCCTCGTGGAATACCTAACAACCTCATGCCTTTTATACAACAAGTTGCTGTTGGGAGGAGACCTGCACTTAGTGTTTATGGAAACGATTATAATACCAGTGATGGAACTGGGGTAATACTTTTGAGTCTGTTCTTATTGCTATTGCCTTTGATCTGTAAAGCGAAAGTTGGATGTTTGAATGCAAAAGGAAAAACAACAAAACAAAACTAATTCAGCTTCATGATAATCTTGTTATTCTCCTCTAGAGCTTTTCCTCTTTCACTCTTTTGTCCTTTTAAAATATTGGAAGAACTCTGATTGGTAATCAGAGCTTTTCCTCTTTCTTTTTTAAGAATTTAGTTTCAAGTTACAACGCTGGTTGTTTGTAGTTATTCTGCTAAATGATAAAAACACTGGAATGCAGAGTTCAATTTCCCTTTTCATTTGACAGAAGTAGTTATTGATTAACAATATTAGAATATGCTTATATAATTTTCCACTGGCTCCAGGTTCGTGACTATATTCATATTGTGGATCTGGCTGATGGGCATATTGCAGCTCTTTACAAACTTTTCCAAGACCAAAGTATCGGTAAATAGCTTCTTTTCCTTGTTTTTTAGTCACTTCCACCAACACTAAACATTTATCTAACCTTACAAATTGCATTTGAGATTTTATTTTTTCTTGTTTGGATTTATAGCTGCCTGCCACATGTAACCTAACCTACACCTGCATAATAGCAATCCAGTTTCTGTACTAGGATGGTCTAATCATTTCCTGATTTGAGCTTGATCTGCTCGCCGCAGGCTGTGAAGTCTACAATCTAGGAACTGGAAAGGGAACATCTGTGTTGGAAATGGTGGCAGCATTTGAGAAGGCATCTGGAAAGGTTGTTTTATGTTTCTTTTGGTACAACTTTCTTCCTGATTCTTCAAGCGGTTTTTTAGTACAAAAATTAAAATTTTTTAACTAGAAAGCCGCTTTAAGAAGCAGTAAGAAAGCCATCCCAAACAGAACCTTATACATTTTTCTTTGAGGTTAAGTGCACTTGTTTGTCTGCTATTAACCAACTCATGGTTGATATTCCATTTGCAGAAAATCCCTTTGATCATGGCTGATAGGCGATCTGGCGATGCCGAAATCGTCTACGCATCGACGGAGAAGGCTAAGCAGGAGTTAAATTGGAGGTGTGAATCAAAACATAGATGCTAAATTTTCCTAATCACTTCTGAATAATCTGTTTTGCAGAGCTAAGTATGGAATTGAGGAGATGTGCCGTGATCAATGGAACTGGGCTAGTAAAAACCCCTGGGGATATGAAGCACCTGAATCTCAAAGCTAAGTTCTTGTATCACTTCTTGTTCTATTGATGAGCTAATAAATTTTTTAGTGTTAATAAGTATGCTAACTTCTAATATAAATTCCTTGAAAGATAGAAGTAGTGAATTACATCTTGGCCTTGTATGTATAAGCTATAAAAGGGCTCCTAGCTTATGTAAAGCTACTTATAGCTCATTGAAAAGTGATTAAACATTGTGAACCATAGAAATTTCTTTTTTATTGGATGCTGTGGTGATTGGTACTCATCATAATAATAGGAAATTGAAGTAATCTTTGCTTTGCTTTGCTTTGTTGGTCCAGCGAACTTTGGAATGTGCTCATTATGATTTTTAACAAAAAAGCTGATGAAAAAAAGTAGATGGCAATTACTATGCATTTGTAAAATTTTGTTGATTTTTGTATTTTTCCTGTAAACTTTATTTAATATTAACGGTAGAATGGAGAGATGCTTTTGTAATTATTATGGAGGCTTTTTTATGATGTGCAACAGAAAAATTAGAGGTTTGGTTTTTAAGTACAGTGTGCTTTATCCTCTCTTTCTGGACAAATTTATAACTAAGCCCTCTTATATCATTAAGCACAATAATATTCACTATCATATCATGTATGAATTTTGTTGCATGTTCGCAATGAAAATTTTCAAATTCAAATTTAGAATCATCCAAATTTTGATATCAACAAAATTATATCTGAATGGAACTCAACAAAATTGAACCCAACAATACAAAAAAAAAAACTTATCCAACCTCAAATGAGCCTTGTTGGGAGTAAACAAATTTGAAACAAACAAGAAAAACAAAAAACATTGGAAAAGGAAGGCCAGAATTAACTTGGACAAATTTGAAGATGGGAAAAAATTATGGAGTCACTTCACATCAAGAAATTCACTATGAAAAAGAATGAAATTGTATAGATCTTCATATTCACACTATCTTCTTCAATTCTCTCTCACGTTTATAATCTTCTCTCTACATCTAGATACAGAAGAATAACTCTCTTAAATTGGTCACAACTGATAAAAGAGAGAAATCCATTAAAGTGGGTCAGCATCGCCTTTGCATTGAGTTTTTTGTTTTGTAGCACCTTGTTGTTGGGTCTACAACACCACGACATTGAGTTCATAGTGTTGTGGTGTTGGAATTACAGCATTGTGATGTTGAGTTCTCTATCCCATAATTAGGTCCACAATGCCTTAGAGCTGTATTTACAGCTCGACATACATAATTGAGATCTAAGTCCAGTATGCAACCCGATTGATTGACACAATTTGATTCCATCAAAACTAACAAGAAACTTCATGATATTAATTGAGAGATCAATTAATATTCAAATTATATATGCTTATAGTTATATTGAGTGTGTCCATGAGACAAATCTAATGAACCTAAGATCTCTAAATTTGAATATCATTAAAACACTTAAATGTGAAAAAGAATACTATATGATCAACATAATCAATACAAGACATTTAATGGAGTATTTTGAATTTTGATTAGATTAGTAAAGAGTATCATTTTCAAAATTATAAATAGACCATCTATCTTTACGTGAAACGAGACCTCGAAAAAGAGATTGGTGACATATCAGAGGTTTAAAGAATTTCAAATCTCCACCTGATCGCAACAATTAGACCACTGTCTAAACTCTACAGTTGAAAACTAACCAGCCACCATCATTGAAATGGGACTCGATCACTATCCCCATAACGCCGAAATTGCCATCGTTGAACCATAGCCGTCAGATCGCTTCCTGCTTGTTGTTGTCGAGCCACTTCCAAATTGATGCAGTTGGACAATCATTAGACCATTGCCCAACTACTACCACTATTTGATTATCGTTGTTTGACATTGCCCGACCTTTGTCGTCAAATCACCATAAAAAAATTATTTGATTTCCATCGTTGTTGGATCACCTCCCAACTATCGCCATTAGAAAATTGTCCAATCACCCCTATCTAAACACCAACCAACCACATTGTAGGATATTACCATGTGACCACTGATTCTAGGCCATTGCTTGACCGAATACATTATAAATTAACATGATCGCCGTCATCACAGCAACACCTGACGCCATCACCTTAATACCACTATAGGACTGCCACCATCAGACCACCACTCGACTATTGCAGTTGAACCACCACCCAACTATCGTCAATGGGCCACCGCCTGATTGATGCCATCAAACTTTTGCCTAACTATCGTCATCAAATCATTCACTCAATTGTTGTTGCAAGATGACCACCCGACCATTATCATTGGACCACTGCCCAACCGGCGATATCAGACTACCATCATTCGACCATTGATAAACAACAATCCTTCAACCAGCATCGCTCAAATATGATCTTTTGATCATCCTCGCATGACTTCGGTCTCCTGATCACCTTCGCTCGATTTTAGTCATCTAACCACCATCGCCTTTGTTTGTATTATATCTTTGCACAAAATTTTAAACGTATTCTATATCGCTACGAATATTTTGATGCACAACATGATACTTGCAAATTATTCTATTTTCTATTTGTTAATTCACATTCAATGTATTTGTCTTTAAACAATTACCTTGTCATTTGGATTTGCTTCATGAAAAAAAAAAAATGTAGCACTACAGTGTTCAAATAAGTTAGTGTTTCTCTTATTAGGGTCTTAAAATTTTCTTTTGATTAATCTACCCAAGGAAATTAGTATAATGGATTATTCCATCTTAAAAGAGCTACACCAAACCTTTTTCTTAAATCTAGTCAAACTCTAATCCAAATTAATTAAGGTAAATTAGTCTCAATGTAGGCTTAGCTTGAGATTATTTTCTTATTATTTTTTAAACCAATTTTTTAGTAAATTTTTTATTTAAAATTTTATTTTGATTTTACTTTCTTAAACTCTGCAAAGAAAGATATTTCTCAAAATTCCTTTAAAACTTCAATGTTAATAATTTAATTCAGCAGCCATCAAATCAATATTTTCAATTATATAAGTATGGCTCATTTTTTTTTTTTTAATATGATGTTCTATATTTTATTTTATTTTATGATTTTATATATAGTCACATAATATCTAATAGTTTAAATAAGCTAATATGATTATTTTATTATTATTATTATTATTATTTAATGAGCTAATATTTATTATTTTCAAATTCAACTACTCTAAAGTTAGAAATAAATCTCATCTTAATATCTGTTGGTTAGGAATTTTGATTAACATTATTAGATTAGAGCCTCATCGTCTAATTTAAAATATTTGTTGTTGTTTTTTTTCCAGATATTTTTAAAAAAATTATATTTATTAATTAGTGTATTATTTAACTCATAATTATCATTAATGTTAAAATACATCTCATCTTTATATAATTTATGCTATTAAATTATAAAAATATTAATTTTCTAATATCATATTTTATACATTAAAATAAAATGCGAAGTTGAAGTAATATTAAAAGTTTATAATACTCATATGTTTAAATTTTAACATCATATTTAAAAATTATTTCAAATAAAAAAAAATCAAAACAAATTTAATATACAGTCAATATTATTTTTGCTCAATTTTAAACTAAAATGACGAAATAACTCTATCAAACTAAAAATTAGTAGCAGCAAACAGATCAACAATAATAAAACTAATAAATAATAGTACATACATTAAACAGATCAAGCCATAGCATGTACTCATTAATCTAAGGTTTCATTTGGAACGGTTTTATTACTCCTTCTGAAGCTGTTTTTAATTATAAAATTTAAAAATTTTGTACTAAAAAATAGCTTCAGAAAACCGTCTCAAACAAGAACAATTATTACGTCCTCCGACCGGACGTTCCTCTACCAGGAACGTCCGGTCGAAGGCCAAATCGCGCAAAAAAATGAGAAATACCGAGCAAATACCGAGCAATACCAAACAATAACGAGGAATACCATCAAGTGAAGACCCAATACCGAGCAATACCGAGTTATACAAAAGTTGTACCGAGTTTTTCCTAGACAAAACTAGGTACAACTCGGTATAACTCGGTATTGATCTTCACAGAGCGGTATTCCTTGTTATTATCAAATAATACATAGTAATACCGAGCAAATACTGAGTTTTTTGGCAGGATTTTCCCTCCGACCGGACGTTCCTCTACGTCCTTACACCGGGCCTAATAAAAGTTCCTCAAACAAAGCCTAAATTCCACAACTAATTTTTAGGATTAGAGCTCTTAGAGCAGCACAAGGTCACTACAGCAGCAACAACACTGAATGAAGCCGTAGCAACAGCAGCAGAACAGATCCATTTCTTCCATTTTCTTCCACCACCCCGCTCGACATCTTCAATCTTCCTCGACTGCTCCAAACACGGGATAGTACAATTCTTCTCCTCGATGATGCGGTTCATATTGCTCTGAATCTCATCTTTCTCTTTATACACAGCAAGTAGTTCCATCTCCGTGTTGCCATGTGCGGCGGCTTCAGTGAAACTAGGGGAGGCTTCGCGCTCGCTCCTGACAATAGATGATACATCGCGCTCGCTCTCAGCACCGCCGATGTTGTGGTGGGAGACGAATATTGCTATTTGAAACTGTAGTTGTTCAATTTGTTTGCGGCACTCCGTCACTTTCTTCACCAGCTGGTCATTGAGATTTTTCAGTTGATCGATAGTTTTAGTTTGGAAACTTGAGGCAGATCGGTTCTTCTTTCCCATGAGAAGAGGAATGGAAGAGGGATTGAAAGACTTGAATTTGCTTATTCTAAAGAGAACAATTGGGTTAAGTGATTCGGACTGATAAAATTGCCGTTTATTTATAGAGCTTTAGGGAGTGCTTGCTGATGAATCAGTATTCTAACCGTAGAGGAGAACCGGAGGGCTGTGAGACCGATTAAAAGATACAAAATTTAAAAATTTTCCCTCTTCTGCAACTGCCTCCGGCTTCCTCTCCGGCGAGTTTCCGCCAACTCCCCCAAGCTTTTCGGCCGCCTGACAGATCGAGATAAGCACACCTCCCGCCTTGACTTGGTCAACATACTAATCCTGTTATGATTTTCGTGCATATGAGATTATGACATCTTAAAATAGGGGAGTAAGCCATGCATGATTAACATTGGCTTAACCAAGCATGAATATAGATCGATGCATATTAATTTTTAGAATTAAATTTGTATCACTTAAACTCTGATTTCAACTTATAGCTAGTCAAAATGACCGACTCGATCAAACAAATCCAACAACACAAAAAAATTGGTATGATCAAAGTCAAATAAGCCTAGATCAAGAGATTTAGCCATAGTTGAAAACTTTAGAATATTCAAATGATATAAAAAATTAGCATGTTTATAGTCAAATTAAATTTTCAAGGAGATGAATCAACCGAGCCTAAGATGACTTAATTTGTG